TGTGTGTACCTACCATACTTACTGTGAGCACCATCCCATGAGGTTTTATGACATTTACAAGATTCACACCGTTTGCAATTTCCACTTTAAACTCTTTAAAACAATTCCAGTATATGTTAAAAGAGAAAAGAAGTTCTCATTTTCAACGTTCTTTTTTCTTTATGTGGCTTGTTTTGTTTATATTAATGCACTTTTATCTGTGTTTATTGAGATGCTTAAAGGAGAAGGCCTATTGATCAAGTTCTTGTCAAAGAAGAATACGTTCACCACCAGTTCGGACAGACAATAAATTTTTCTATTTCTTTTACTAACAATAGTTAAAAAAAAACCAATATAATCAGAACAGAAAAAGTCAGTTGATCGTGTAAATTAAGTTCCCACATTATATTTTTAAAGTATAACCAATTTTTTGGACAGTTTTTACCACAATAAAATTATATTAAACTGTGCTTTTAACTGTGCTAAATGCAAGAAACTGTTTTCTTTACCAGATTAAATCAGAATACAGATCTGAAGTTGGTTACTATTCTTCACCTAGAAAGCTGCTTGATAATTAAGAGCAACTAAGATTCATCTTTTACTTGACTTGAATAATAATGAGCCAAAGCCTTTTGCATTAGACAAGTTTTACAGCAAATATAAAATATAAAAATACCAACAAGCTCATAGATTATTTTACTTCTCACTGGTTTTCCCACAGTCCAAAGCAGGAACTACAGCAGTAGTAGGGGCCTCTGGTTTATTTATGCTGACAGAGTCAAAAAAAAAAAAAAATCCCTCAAACGTTAAACAGAAGATGAGCTCTCACCTCTCTCACACTGTGGCCCGGTGAAACCGTAGACACAGGCACATCTGTTGGGTCCGATGCAGCGCCCACCGTTCTGGCAGCCATTTTCACACACAGCTAACAGAGACACGGAGTAAAGATGAGTTACTGTACTGCTTCAGTTTCATTTTCTTTATGTTCTCACTCTTTCAGTGATTAGTTAAAGCCTAAAAGCACATCCTTAACTTTGTAGTAAAAGGCTTTAAGTCATTTCACTTAAACAAGCTATCAAAAATACATTTTAGCCATATTTTAAATGTTTTAGCTCATTTTTTAACATCAAATTTTATAGCAGACAAAGAAAATGTTGTGATCATGAACATGTTTAGGATGCATTAATATCTGAAGTTCACAGCTTGTGCGTTTAAAGGTTTTTCATGTCAAGAACAAAGAACATTTGTTGATGTTCACCGGGCTGGAAAATGATTCTTCCATCACTAAAGAGTTTATTAAACTCCACCGCTCCATATTCACATTGAGTCTAAATAGGGAAATTCAAGATTACTGTTGCTTTCCTCAAAGCTGGGCATTAAAAATTAATCTGACTCAAAAATGTGCAAAAGCACAGTATGTTCATTGTTAACAATCAGTCACWGCAAACACTGCCTGTCTGTAGTTTACTTATATTTAATTCTAAACATTTCTGAGGTTTAATAAAACGAGAATAGTTCCAATGTTTTTCTTTTAAAGTAAATGTTGGAATAAATGAAAACAAAACCTTCTTAAATAATAAGCTTTACCATTTAGCTGCAACATTTAAGATTTATCCTTTACATTTAGATTTACACATTTTAAATTCAGGATTTAAATTTAACATTTAGTAAAAAAAAAATATCAAAATGTAAAAGCAGAGAGCAAAATAACCATAAAATGCTAGTGTCAATGTTTAAACCAGGGGTGCCCGAATGTTTTCCCTGAGAGGGCCAAAATTAAAATTAATCTGAGGGCCACAGGTCAAACGCAATATTATAAGAAATGCAAATACTTAAGTAAAGTTGTTTTATTTTTTATGATTAAGCTAACAGCCAGTGTGGTTGCCTACATTCTTTTCTTTTTTTTTTCAGCCCATGGACATGGAGAGCATTCAACATATGCTCAGGCAGCAAAGGCTCATGG